AAAGAATAGGACACATACAATAGTGTTTGAGAACAAGTGTATAAAACATGGAGATGAACAATATAACAACAAGGCAGGGCGGAATCATGGACATCTCAACAGCAGAAGCATGAAAAGTTCTAAAAGCCGTTCTTTGCAAGTTTCGACATTGTTCATCTGGCCATACTACAGCCTATAAACCAACAACCACAAGATATAACGACATGTCGTCACAACATTCACAGTTCACTCCATGCCAACCAAAAAAAAGATGAGCAAAAGAATGGTCAAAACTAGTCATGAACAACAAGTAGGCTTTCCCAGGATATGCCCGTCTTTCAGCACTACGATCCAGTTAATTCCATGCTTCATTTCACCATGAACAATGAACAAAAGGAGAAACCAATGACGACAAAGTTTGAAACACTTAACCAAAAATGAGAAGACACCATTGAGTGCAGAATCCGGTCACTATATTGTGTCTGGCTCTGCCTAAAAACGAGAAAAATAAGGAAGTTCCAGAACAAATAGAAACTATAATTGCTTCTAGATTCAGTACGGCATAAGCACCAAAAGGTAGGGTGATTATAACATTCAGCAAAAACCATTCTGTTTGAAACGTTGCGTACTAAGAAAATAATATGTTGATAACTGCGAGTTATGGTAAGTATATGATATCTACTTATCTATTTACAATGTAACTAAAATAATCATGAAATGAATGGGCCAAGATACCTACATGAAACAAGGTTGGACCTTTGCATTTCTGGAATGCCATCGGACTGCAATTCATTTACGTAATATTGCTCTGTGTAAAGCCTGCAGGGGATATTAGCTTATAAGATGCACAAAGTGGTAAAACATCCCACCAAGGTTAATAACATTACAGTCTGCAGAATACTGGATCTTCAGAATTTAATACATGAATATTTGGCTTTCAAAATACTCAAAAGTAAGTGAGTTAAAAAGGAACACTGTAGTAAAAAAAGCATTCAGTAAAAAGACTATTTGAGTTGAGAACTAGGAATTGTGAAAATGGACCACCATATTAAATCAAGTTATGCCATACAATCCAGTGTCCTTAACAATAAACTATACATGCATTATATCAGTTGTAACTAACATTGTTGTCTTAATCCAGTGTCATTAACAAGTTTAATTACTTATCATGTTTTCTGCATGGTAACCTAAAGTATATGCAGTGAGTATTGGAGAGTAACATACAAGTAAACAGTTATGAACAATTACATGTTTTTTCTAGACAAAATTATGTGCTAGCAAGCAATTCAGTTTTCTCAATATTCCTAAGACTTTGTGCCATACTATGCACTACAGGTTGAGTGTATACCTTAGTTAAGTCTATAATGGAGATTCAATTTCTAAAGGCATCCAACCTTGTGCATCGCTTTTTTAAAAACCGAGGCAATTCGCCTGAAGTACTGACCAGTGATGCAGCTGAACAACTCAACAGAAATGGCGGCATGCCTCTTGCAATTTCTAAGGAGGTGAAGAAATCCCCTCACATTGTCTTTGTAGATGGTTTTCTTCCCTGTTTTATCTTCGTAGGAGAAAGGCTGCTCCAGAAATGAGTTCCTTAGAAATTTGGTCTTTATCTGCCATCCCTTATACCGTGGTAATGCACGGATTATAGAATTGTACACTTCTAGATCATGTTTCTCTAGATCAATCAACCTATCATATAGGGTCATCAGGATATGTCCTCCTAAGGAATCATCAAGCAACCCAATATGGCAGTATAATAGTTCTGGGGGTTCACCCTTCAACAACATCGAAAGCCACTCAGAAATATCGTTTGGTATTGCCTTTCCAAGGAGCACTTCGTTTCTGATCATTCTCGCAAAACTCGCATTGTCTAAATCCACATCATCATTGATTTTGATTTCCTTTAGTGTTCCTTCTGTTAGGTTGCCAACCTTAATAGATTTGGATCTATCAACAACAAAATTGGCAGCACCAAACTCTCCTCTCAATGCAGGATCCTTTTCTTTTGTTGGTTGATATAACTAACCTAAAATATCACAAAATGTACTATTACTATCATATTGTTTTGAGGAATTTTTATTACTATTATAGATACAGGAAAAAAAATCATGTTATTCATTGCATAGAGGGATAAACTAGTATTACCTTCGACAGCTACTGCTTAGTGTGGTACAATCGGAGTCACTGACATTGTTGCACCAATCGATCCAATCACTAGATAATACCACTTTTCCTTCAATTGTCCAGATTGAAGAGTTCAACATTAAGAATTCACATATTTAGATTGTACGAGATTTAAGGTATGAGTTCCAGCTCGTACTGGATTAATGATACAACTTTTCTGCCCAAATTAAAGTTTTTGTTTTATAGTCAGTGCAATCATATTTAATCTTATTTTATGTCATACCACAATAAAAAATAAATAGTATTATATCAAACTTTTATACTTATTTAATCTTATTTTATGTCATATTACAATTTAAGAAGTATAATTTTTTATTATTTAGTTTGTATAGTTAAACTCATAATTTAGTTGGTATAATTAACCATTCTCCTCTTTATGATAAATTTAAATTATGTGATGTAACACAAATTATCTTTGAATTATTTTTGTGATTTTCCATAAATTATATAGTGCATACATACATATTTATAAGTATGCACATATGTTGCGTATGTTTAAGTTTCATTAAATATCATGTCAGTAGTTTCTAAAGAATAATGTCTAACTAAATTTTTAATAGTGATTTTTAGTGTATTATTAGATGGACATACTTATAGAACCTTGTAGAGTATAAATAGTACCATTTGAAATTGTGTTGCAAGTTAGATTCGGTAATAAGTTCAACATATGCATGGTATTGAAAATGCAACCACCACCGATGAACCTAGACATATTGTTGATTCTGTTGTACATACATACAAATACACATAGATACATACACACACACAAATAAGTATATGCATGGTATTGAAAATGCAACCACCACCGATGAACATAGACATATCACTGATTCTGTCGCGCGCGCGCGCACACACACACGCACGCACGCACGCACGCACGCGCGCGCGCACGCACACGTGCACCCACGCACGCACGCACGCACACACACACACACACTAAGACTCCATCTCTCTCTCTCTCACACACACCGTTTGTTTATTTGGTATGCTTATCTAGATGTTTGGTTTCATCTCCTGTATACAAGAGTTCATATCAGTTTCAAAAATAAAATTTATGTACGAATTAACAAAGAAATCTAGTTAATGTAATGACACCACGCGGTGGAGGTTTAGACGGTCTCGGAAGATCACACGTCCAGCCATTCAGAAGATGGATTCGTTAGATGCAACAAAAAGTATGTCCTCTGAAGCGTGAACTGCCACACGTCGTTATCTCCTAACGTTCGCTGCACCAAGGAGGAGGGAGAGCTCTCACATCTCACGGACAGGTCACACACTGGTAACCATAAAATGTGGATATGGCAGGGGACCGAGGAGGAGGGAGAGCTCTCACATCTCATTGACAACTAGTTATCTCTTAGGAGCACAAGCTCGTTTCCGGTCATGCAAAGGCTAGGAAGGCTTTGCCTTCTTTGATCATGCTTGTCTCATGAGAAATTTGAAGAAAGAGAAATAGTTGCGTCCTCCGCCGCCACAACTCCCCCATCAACCTGGATACTTCAAGAATCAAGGAGGAGACCAAGCTTTGGGCTTTGGCCGGTAACTTTCGCTTGGACATTGTAACTCCGGGAGACTAATCCCTTAACCTTGTGTTTGTAAGTCCTAGGATGTATCCCAACAACAAACTAGCATGACAGTTTTTTTATAAAACGGCCCTGACTTTGTGCCATCTACGCACTCACAAGAATAGTCAACGGAAGTACATCTGATTCTGAGTCCGTAGCCAAATGGGAGAGAGGAGGGAGGGCCTGCAAGAAAAAAGTAAGAAAAGTCTAGTTTTTTAAGAAAACCGTATTTGTAAGTCTAAAAATTTCTAGAAAAAAAAAGCATTGCCTGTAGATATCAGTTGCTGGTATGTGGATGCGAAGTTTGAAAACATGTTCATTTGCGGTCTGTATAAAACTGAAAAATATACGTATATGCGTCCTAAGTTTCAAACTTTGTAACTTAACCCAAAAAATGATCTGAAATGCGAAATGGCCTCTCCCTATTGGCTGTTGATTCAGGTTCAGCTGTGCCCCGGTTCCAAAAATTCGCCCTCACTAACTCAAGCATCACTGCTACAACTCCTCCGGCTTCGTACATATCAGACGGGGTGCCTTGCCGGTACATATACCTAACTGAAAATCGTTAACCGAAGCAGGTGAGCGTACGGTCTCCTGATGAAAGGGAGGGTTCTTGAAGAGGCAGGGCAGCGTGCCGTCAGGGGAGGCGCACCGGTTGGCTGTTGTACGAGCAGTTGGCCATGTGCACGCCTTGCGGCCAGTAGACGCCCTTGGGGTCGTCGAACCACAACTCGTCGCCGCCGCGTGCCATGGACACCTGCCGCACGTCCCTAGTAACAAGAGGCCGTTGCATTGCTGCATGATCGCGATGATTCCCGTGCCGGCGAGGTTGCCGCCGATGGAGTGTGAGGGACCTGCGCGTAGGAGGCCTTGGCGAGCGCCACGCGGTCGCCGTGGTCGGCGCACACAGACTCCACGATGTTGACGAGATCCACCTTCACGCGGGTCACCCGGCCGGCGCCGGGCAAGGTAGGAGAGCATGCATGGCTTCATAGAGCTTGTCCGTGCGGCAGCACGAGGCGATACCACCCTCCACGACGCGGCCCACGGCAAGGTCGTCCACGCCAGGCCGGGGGAGAGGACGTCCTCGCGCCATCCTTTGCAAATTTGACAATTTCTCTCCAAAACTGTATCCGCGACGATCACGTTACCGTGGGCCACTCGGTTTCGTAGCGACCGCGTTTCCGGCCGGTTCCCCGATCGATCCCTTTATACTTCCTACTTCCGCGGCGCTGCCCACGGCAACCAACGCCACCCAGGACCACGCCAATGCAGATCTTCGTCAAGACCGTCACCGGGCAGACCCTCACGCTCGAGGTCAAGGGCACCGACACCGTCGACACCATCAAAGCTCGGATCCAGGACAAGCAAGGGATCACCGGCACCGCCTCCCAAGACGACCCGCACCATCTGCCGTCCCTCGTGTTCGCCGGGAAGCAGCTAGAGGAGGAGGACGGCCGGACGCTGGCCGACTACGGCATTGGCAAGGAGTCGACGCTGCACCACGTGCTCGGCCTCCGCGGCGGCTTCCGGCAACGAAGCTGCTACCCCAATCACATCAGCCCCAGCCTCCTAGCGCTTGCGCTCCGCTACAACGAGAACAAGATGATCTGCCGCAAGTACGTGCATATATACATCGCCTCTATACATACATACTACACAGACATGCCTATAGGTGCTTGATTTTTTCATCTCTCCGTCCTAATTAAGTTTTCATATACAGGCGCTATGGACGTCTTCCTCCTGGGGCTACCAACTGCCGCAAGAAGAAGTGCGGCCACAGCAATGACGTATGTATATCTCTCTCTTCATATTAGCTACTAGTACGAGTTTTTGTTGCCAATAATGTCCTCCCTCGTAACATATTTTTCTTCTTCTTCAGCTAAGGCCCAAGAAACGTTTCGATGGTAGAGCAGGTTTACGAGGGAAATAGTGACATGTACCTACAACAAGGCGACCATAAGGACCGATTATATATGCTCCCCTCTGCACCAGTGATCAGCATCTCCTGCTTTGCTTGGCATACATATATTCTTGAAGCACCTCCTGCGCTTTTCCTCATAACGCTGATGTACAATTGCACTCTTTTTTTTGTAATATATCTAGCATTCCGTGGACATTGCCATAATGTATTTTTGTTGTTTATTCTTCTCAACATGACTTTTCAAATTCTGATGCATCCCCTACTTGTCACATACTCCAACCTCCGATGGTGCCTGTCATAGAATCTCCGGTTGTCGTCGTAGGGTTGTCTTGTCGTGCATGCGTCGCAGCAACCCCATGGTGGCTGGCTGGTGCAAAGTTGGTTGTAGCAAAACTCATTGTCAGTTGTAACAAGATGTGATGCCGGTTGTAGCAAAAATGCGATGCCGATTATAGCAAAACATGATGCCGATTGTGGCAGGCGTGCCGCCAGTTGTAGCAAAAAGTTGACGTCGGCTTGTGCGTTGTAGCAAAACATGACGCTGATTGTAGCAGGATGCGACACCGATTGTAGCATAGTGTGGTGCCACTCGAGTAGCGCCACTATCCTCGCCCCATGTTGCATTTCTGCTCACCATCAGTGACAGCTCCCGGTTCGGGTAGTCATAGTACTGCGCACCGCCGGTCTTAGCATCATGCGACCCCAGTTTGACAGCGCCCACACGGTGGTGCCGGCCGTGACATTGTCTACATGGCCGTAGTAGTATTGTTTTGAATCAAAAATTGGAATCGTCCCCTTCTTCTGATATTTTTTTCCAAACTAGTTCGCGCACCTGCCACAGCCGTGCATGGCGGGATGGGTAGTTGCTACACTTGTCTCGCTCTTTCTAGTGAGATGGGTCCATACCGTCCGTGTTGGAATCATCAGATGAATCATTTTACGGGGATTGACGCCCACATTCCACAGATGCTCAATGGGATTACCTCTCTGAGATAGTCGAGAACCTCACCTATCTCTTGGACTTCTAGAATGGCTTGGTTGAGTTATTGACTTGTTGTACACGTCAGGATCAAGATTGGGCATGAACTTGTCTTTGTGGTGGTCAGGTTGTCGATGCACACATCTTCTATGTCTTTTATGACGAAGAGGCAGATGAAGCAAACAGAGCACGAACCACCAACCTGGATGAACAACTCAGCTGCAGAAAATGGGAACTGTCATTCAACGATAATCCAGACTAATTGTGCAAGGAATTAACTTGAACAATTCTTATTTTGCATACGGAGGAGCGACCAAGAACTTCTGTATCTTTTGTCCAAAGTCATTTTGAGCTATATTCTCCATTATTGCGTGCAAATGACAATGTGTACTTCATTATTGCATGCAAATTGTTGGGACAAGCTCTCCGGCAACACACGCCGAGCAGCCCTCCGGCGAGGAACGCCCTCCGGCAACACAAATACCAGATTGAAGAGATAAACTCGAGAAACAAATATTTGCGGCGACATACGCCTCGGCGACGAACGTCTTCTCTTTACTCAAACTGGACACATGTCACACACCAATATACATGGAAGACTACACATGTCTCGAGACTAACTCCGGCTACTACTCCTCACGATGAGCGCACGACACGGCCTCACAGCCTCACAACTGGCCACTATCCTCATGGATGCATGCAAATAAAGTAGCTACCTATATCCACGTCCAAAGCCACTCAACGCCTGCTGGAATCTCTCCATCATCCACTTGACTAGGACTCCTAACAACCTAATTAACTTATGCCAAACTTCATGCACGGCTACCAGACTTGCGCATCTAGCTCGCTCCGGCCGCCCAAGTCACGATTATCCTAACACAAATGACAATGTTACTTCATTATTGCGTGCAAATGACAATCTGAACACTACCTCAGATTCAAGTCGATATCAAAATCTAAGCATCCTCTGTTGTATTTATGAGATAAATCGGCATTTTCTGCAAGAAACATGCTATGCTGACTATATGTCCTTCACTTCAAAGCGTTGGTGTTCTAGTGCTCTCATCATAAATCAGTGTTAGTGCATCACATCCTTCGTAAATAGTACTCCCTCTGTAAAGAAATATAAAAAAGAAAAAGAAATATAAGACTTTTTAGATCAAAATAAAAGGACTTATATTTCCTTATAGATGGAGTAATTCACAAGCCGGCATACATGCTAGTGATGAAGAAACATTGTTTCCTTCACAAGTCTGCAGAAATCAATCGAGACGAAATAGATTTTCATGCAAGTGAGGATTAACAATTCAAATATTTATCTCATTGTCACTTCTAACCGTTATGAACTTCATTGGTGACCACCGAGCAAACTTTCTGTGTGAAAAGGGCCAGACGTGCCAGATTTGTCAAAAAAAGAAAAACTATGGGCGCTGGTCATGAGCCTACCCGAATTATAACGCCCATAAACCACAGCAGGAGAGAGACCCAAACCCTCCCCCGCCGCCCCCCTCAATCCCCCGATCTCTTCCTCTTGCTGGACCACCGCCCAAACAAGTGCCCTCTTCCTCGAGTCCGGCAGACAGATTCGCCGCCCAAACCGACCCTGCGAGGCGATCACGGAGCACGCTGCCGTGGAGGGTTCGCGGTGCCGCCATAGCTCGCCATCGTCTCCTGACTACCCCCTCCGTCCGGCCCGCCACAGGGTAAACCAAATCCTCTTGCCTCTACGTGCCCAAGCAATCCATCACACGCAATCCTTATGTTTCCTCTTTTTATTTTATTTCTCAGTTGATCCGAATTGGATCGAGTAAATAGCATAAAACTACTACTTTACAGGCTATGGTATCAAAAAACTACCGGTTTTTAATTTTTCGCTGATAACTACCAACTCGGGGGTCGGCTGTTTCAAAAAACTCCAAATGACCGTTGCTTAAAAATTAAACCTGTTTATGACAGGTCGGGCCCGCACCTAAACATTCCGTCTATTTGACCGTGTGTGTTGACCGTTAACTGACATGTAGGGCCCATATGTCAGTGTCTGAAAAAGCAACCGGGGCCCTAAAAAATTTCTGAAATAGCAATCGGGTCCCTGGAAGTTTTCAGAAAAAGCAATCAAGTCCCTAGATCCAGAGGAGGCGCACCCGCCATTGCAGGAGCTCGATCTCGAGCTCTCTGCCTGGAACTGCGATGCCACCTCCTCCGGCCGACGCCGTGCACCACCTGCAGCCGGTGAACCACGCCCGCCGTGGCCGGATCCACGCCGCCGCTCCACCTGCAGCCGGCGAGCCACGCCCGTCGTGGCCGGATCCACGCCGCCCCTCGCCTGTGGTGGCCGCGCCACGCCGGCCCTCGCCCGTGGCGGCCGCTACGCGGCCCCTCGCCTGCGCCGACCACCACGCCGCCCCTCGCCTGTGTGCGCCGACCACCACGTACGCCCTGTCTCGCCTGCGCCGGCGGCCACACTCTGCCTCGCCCGTGCCGGCCGCTGCCCTGCCAGCAACGCGCACCTCCCGCCGCCAAGGATGAGGCCCGCCTCTGGAATGCCTCCTCGTCGCCAACTCCACCACCATGAGCTCCGACGAGGACCTCCCACGACCATGGGGAGGCTGGGGAGGGGAGGGAGGAAGAAGAAAGAGAAGAGGGAAAGAGAAGAGGAAGACGAAACTGACATGTGGGCCCCAGATGTCAGTTAACGGTCAACACACGGTCAAATAGACGGAATGTTTATGTACGGGCCCGACCTGTCATAAACAGGTTTAATTTTTAACCAACGGGCATTTGGGGTTTTTTGAAACAGCCAACCCCGAGTTGGTAGTTATCGGCGAAAAATTAAAAACCGGTAGTTTTTTGAAACCATAGCCTATAAAGTAGTAGTTTTATCTTATTTACTCGAATTGGATCCGAAGGAGCGCCGGAGACCAGTCACCATGCCGGGCACCGGAGGCGCGACCATCCTGGACGATCTTCCCGAGTGGATCGTTGTGGAGGAGATCCTCATCCGTTTGCCACCCAAGGACATCCTCCGCTGTCGCGCTGTCTGCAGGTGGTGGCACAGCGCCACCTCCACCGACAAGTTCATGCTGGACCACCACCGCCGCCAGCCCTTGCTTCCGATCCTCAGCCAAGTCGTCGGCACGCAGCCGCAGGAAGCCCGCCTCTTGTTTTCCTTTGACGCTGGAGCAGGCCAGCAACAGCTCTGCCCTGTCATCCAGACCTACTACCACAATACACTCCACGCTGCCCTTGATGGCCTCCTCATCGTCTCCCACAGATCCGTGGTGTCTGAGTTCTTCATCTGCAACTCGGTCATCCGCAAGTGTGCTCCCCTAGCGAAGCCTCAAACCCAACACGGTCTTTACCCCCGAATTGTCGGCTTCTACCGGCAGAAACCATCCCGAGGAGAGTACCGAGTGCTTTGGGCCTCTACCAACGCACATGACACAAAAACTTCCTACCACGCCATAGCGGTGGGATCCAATAGTACAAGGTACATCGGACAAGGATGCACCGCACAATCAACATCCTCGTCCCTTTCCTTGGAACTGGCGTTAGACAGGGGTCTGCCCTATTCGTCAATATTGCCACCAGCCCACCACCGTAGCAGCCTGCACTGGACACTTAAAAAACACCAAGGCTAGGATGCCGACTACATAATGGTGTTCAACGAAGCATCTGAAACATTTCGGTTGATGTGTCGCCCTGCCCGGTTGCCTGGCTGCTTACATGAGACGTTGCTGGAGATGGATGACACTCTTGCTTTGTGCAGCATCAGCAGTGTCAAACACACCATAGATGTTTGGGTGGTACATGACTACGATGCTGAAACCTGGTCTTTCAAGCATCGGATGAACTTGACTGGGATGGGTCCATCAGTGCTTGTCGATCCAAACCCAAAGCACACAATATTCCCTAGGATGGCTGTGCTCAGTGGGGGTGAGATGCTGATCCAGTTCACTTGTTGGCGTGTGTTGCATTATGACATCGATGGCAAGTTTTTAGGACATGTGAAAAGCAAAGATGGCCAAGAAAT